CTCTCTCTCTCTCTCTCTCTCTCTCTCTCTCTCTCTCTTCTCTTCTCTTCTCTTCTCTCACACGAACTTAGGCATATTTCCAAATTCTTACAAGACTTTGCGTCTGAAAAAGTGTCAAAGACTTTGGAGACTAAACCCACGCTGCACCAACATGTTGATTCCATTTATTTATTGATGTATTGATGTATTTATTTATTTAATTATTTATTTTACGTAGCCCTGCACCGAAGATGAACTGTAAATTCTCCGTGGTTTCACAATGGTTCATTCAACACACCACGATTTTCCCTGAATACACCCGTGTGTAGTGTCAAAAGATCTTTCCACCTTCTGTCCCAACAGGTTACGGAATGACAGAGACAAGCCCAGCAACGCACACAGCACCCCTGGAGGGTTGGAAGTTCGGATCTGTTGGTGTTCCTTTGCCAAACACCGACAGCAAGGTAAACATCATGTTTTGCCATTTCTCAACATTTGTCTCTGGAAAATGTGTGTTTGGGGGCCCAACACACAAATATTGTGCTTAACTTTAAACGGGAGAAGGATAGATCGGACGTATAATTATCTCTTCACGCAGTTGGATTTCCATCGCACTGCAGAGCTTACCCCTCAGGGATTTTTTTACATTTTGTTTATTGTTTTGGTTTGGTTTGTTCTTTTTGGTGGCTTTTTTTCCTCGTGTCTAATTTTTGCTCTTTATTTAATGTTTTCCTACGCTGTCGCCGCTACATCTTAATTCACTTAGGACGCCGGCTATTTCGTGTCTGCCTGTCTGGCCGACCACAGGCCGAATGGGATATAGCATCCCAGTAGAATGACGAAGATACTTGATTCTATATAAACTTCCTCCACCTCCCATCCTCAATCCCAACTGGTGAATTGAACTCCTGTCGTCTGTCTGCAGCACCGCACCAAAGAACCTAACCATACTCTCTCAGTAATGTTTGGTCTGGCCGATTCAAGCTCTGCTCCGTCGATCTGCAGGTCTGGATAACTTAACAGAGGTGCTGCGCAGTGAGGCGACGCCAAAGTTTCAGACACAGTGACATGCGAAGGTTGTTTCAGGAGCACCAAAGTTACTTTAATCACTTTCTCACCAGTCTCTCTTTTAGGACGTGTCGCTAGTTCAGTTGGTAAAATACTGGGGTATGGTGTGGGTGACCATGGTTTGAATCCCAAATGGGAAATTCTTGAACTTGGGGTTTTTTGAAGCAGGGGCGAAAGCTGACTTGTTTGACAGGGTAATCAAAGTGAAACGGGACCAGATATGGCCTGTAGATATCACACAAGAATCTTACTCGAGGCGGCGACTATGAGTTGTGAATGAAAACAAATCCGGAATTCATATTGTATGTTCAACCGTCAAAATAATCGAGAAAGTATCTTATTAAATATCAATTCCAACTAAAATTATATTTAACTTTAGATGTGAATACACATACACAAAGCAAAGAAGCAGAGATGTCAGTATTAGATCTATATGTTATAGATCTACCAGTGAGTCTAACTCTTTGGTAGAACATGACAATTATCTTTTTTTAAATTTCACATTTGGCTGTTTTTGTCTAGCCTTTCGCGGCTAGGAGCTGGTGTCATAATCGAGGTCACGATCTGATTATAGGACGGTAAAAAGTCGAGGGGAAAAAAACAAGCGTTAGTTCCCCTCACATTTGTGAGGTAGACTCGACCAGTGTTAGTTAGCTTACATAATCAGGGCTTCTGATTGCATATAACTGTGGCCCCAAAGGGGTGAACAGGGTATATGTGGCAATGAAACAGTTTTGACTGCTATGCACATGTTCCCTTCAACTCTATTGGTAGACTCTTCCAGCCTCACTTTAAGCTTACTTAATCAAAACTTGCGACTGCTTATGGAGTGGCCCGAGAGGGGTGAGCAGGCTATTTCTGTGGCCGTGAAACCATTTTTAATGTTAGGCATACTGTTCATTGTTGATTAAGAACGTCTTTTTACATTTAATTTATGAGGTTTACGTTTATGGGTGAATTTGACAGCGACAATGTTTCAAAATTAGGAAGGGAAGCAGTGATTATTTGATTATATAGACGCTTCGCCACTGGTTTGAAGAGTCTTCAGGGCTCCGTTCTATAGAAGATGGGCGTTAAATTTGGAGGTCCTGCCTCTCCAACAGTATTAGCCTCTCTTTTACAATGGCTTTTACCTCTTCATACCCTGCCTGGTAGCCTAGTCTACAGTAATCTAGGAAAAGCTAGAAAGTTCAGAGTCTATTGAATTTGACGCATGTTTTTACTCATACTTACTGTGGGTTTTTCTGATATTTTCCTCAGTTGCCATTAAAAAACGAACTTAGTACCTTTGAAACATTTCTTTCAAATAAAGGTGAATCGGAAAGAAGTATTTGCTTTCTGGTACCAGTCGAAAAATTTCGTAACAAAATGTTTCTTCGCATTCTGCCAACAGGTGGTTGATATAGAGAGTGGCAGAGAGCTGGGAGCGAACCAGGAGGGAGAAATCTGGGTTCGAGGTCCTCAAGTGATGTTAGGTTATCATGACAACAATGAGGCTACACAAGAAGCTTTCGGAGGGGACGGCTGGCTGAAGACAGGCAGGCGCGGCTTCTCTTTTCGCTGAGAGTGGCAGTTCTTCTTCTTCTTCTTCTTCTTCTTCTTCTTCTTCTTCTTCTTCTTCTTCTTCTTCTTCTTCTTCCTCTTCCTCTTCTTCTTCTTCCTCTTCCTCTTCCTCTTCCTCTTCCTCTTCCTCTTCCTCTTCTTCTTCTTCTTCTTCTTCTTCTTCTTCTTCCTCTTCCTCTTCCTCTTCCTCTTCCTCTTCCTCTTCCTCTTCCTCTT